GTATATATAGTTAAATTTTCATGTTATTTAAATAAATATTTATAGAGAAAATTAAAATATCCGGTTTTTTTTGTTACACACTGTATTATTGAAATTATTACTAAAATTATTATTATTATTGAAATTATTATTATTATAATTATTATTTCTTCTACTTCTACACTTATTTGTAATATAACCAAATCTTTCACAGTTATTGCATCTAATAGAATTATTTCTATTATTAGAGCAGCCATTTGACTGGTTAGCAGTTGCTAATTTTTCTAATTTTGAAGTGATACTTTCAATTTGTTCTGCTAATTTATTAATTCCAGTATCTGCAAGTGATATTAGTAAGAAAGGTAAACCATTTGGTATAGTATTATATTATTGAAAGTTAGAATTATAAGTAGTTATTACATTAATTGCTTCTTCTAATATTGCAAAATGAGTTGGATTTATAAAGAATTTAATTTCTGGTCTAAGCACATCTATAAAGTAAATATATATAAGTGAGTTAAATAAGTATTAGTCAGATTTACTCTTCTAATTAATTCTCTGATAGCTATAATATATTGCTCTATGCTTTTATTAGGTAACTGTTTTCTTTATTTTAATTATTATTACTATTTATATAGTTAGTTATGATTTCTAAAGTACTTTTCAAATTGATATATAAATAAAGCTTCTTTTGTATTTAGATTAGTATCATTAGCATAATTCCAAGTTTCTGACCATTCCTGATCATGTAATTTTTCATTAGCATATCATGTGGTAGCTGAATCTTTCAGATAAGTTTCTACTATCTGAATTTTTCTGTTATTGCTAATACTATTAATGACACAAGTATTTTTAAAGTCTTGAAGTTAATCAATTAGATCTTGAGTATCATTATAGAATTCTATAATTTTGATATAATTGACTTCTTTTGGTCTTTCTAGAGCTATAGCAAGTATTTCAATCCTATGCATCAAATCTTCAAATTTATTATTAGTAGTTGATGAAGATGATGTTTTATTTTTCTTGTCTCTACTCATTTCTTCTTCTTCAAGTGGTATTAGAGAAATAAAAGTTAAAGTAACAGATATGTTTTGAGTAATTAACTGTATTTCTAAATATTTATTAAGTGGTAATTGTACCAATATTTGTTCAAGAATATCTGGATTATATTTTTCAAACTGTTGCAAAGTGTCTAATAATTCTTTATTTAACTTTGACTAACTTGAATTAGATACTTCTACAGATACATCTTGCTATTTTCTTTGTCTATATTCTGTTAGATATTTAGTTCTCTTATCTTTAAATTCAAATATCTCTTATTATAGTTTATAGAAATATGTCTGTACTCATTCTGTTGATAGATCAGTTTCTTCTTTAATTAAAGTTGTAAATTCTTTCCTTATCTTGATTTGAATTTTACTATATATTACTTCTTAATGAAAGTGATAAAATTTGTTTCAAATAATCTGTCAGTCAGGTTTAGTATAGTTTTCAAGATATAACTCAGTAAATAATCAAGCAAAGAGTCTTTCTCTTTCTACTTTGGTCTTTTTAGTTAGATCCACTTTGGATATATTGCAAAATTATTTCTTTAATTATCTTTAATTCACAGAGAATTCTTTTTCTAAATTTGGCTTGAATTTGATAATCCTATAGAATTGTTTTTTTACAGAGAGAGCATTAAAAATTTATTATCTTTTTGGTGCAAGTTCTGAAATAAGGGTGGATATTTAATCTAATATTACAAAAGCACATGATAAAAGTATCTACGTACTTAAAGTAATGTATAGAAGAGTTTTTAAAAGATTTATTTAACAAGAATATATCTACTGTTATTTTAAGATTAATTTTAAAGGTAGATAATGATAGTATTCTTATTGTAACTAGCTAAAATATAATTCAATTCCAAAATATAATTTCAAGACAGATGTAATATTTAGTTTATTAATAAGATGAAATAATAGATCTTAATTAAGATCTATTTTACAAGAGAGATTCCTTAGAATTCTCTTAAAACTAAAATCTATTAAAATACAAATTAAGAACTAAACTTATAAAACTTAAACTAAATTAAATAACTATCTTATTAATTTATTGATTCTTGACTATTTAAATTCACTAGCTAAGATATATTACTTTTATATATTTTAGAGATTATATAAATAATACTTTTGTTATGATACTTATGTTAGTTTTGCTATAATCTAAATATTACTTTAGCTAGTATCATAATATTGATTTTTTTATGATAGTATTATTTTTTTTGTTGTGATAGTTTTGCTAACTTTGCTATAATAATTTTGTCATGATCATTATATTTGCAAAATCTTCTAAAAATATCTACAAATAATATTCTTTAAAGCTAATGTCCAATAAGATATAAGTAATTATTTATTCAATTATATTATGATATAAAGTGATCAATAATATATAATTAACTAATATTCTACTAAACATTTATATTACAATAATATTTACAAAAAATAATTAAAATTAAGTATTTAATAAAAAATATAAAAAATAACTTATCTTTAATTTAAATAATTTATTAATAAAAATATTTAATAATTATAATTTTGAAGTTAATTTATTAAAAATATAATATTAGATTTGTTTAATAAGAATTATTTTTTTAATTTCTTCTATTATTCAATTATTATATTTACAAAAAGTAATTAAAATTAATTATTTAATAAAAAATTATAAAAAATAACTTATCTTTAATTTAAATAATTTATTAATAAAAACTTTAATAATTATAATTTTGAAATTAATTTATTAAAAATTATTATTATATTAGTTTTTCTTTTTAAATTTTTATTTGGCAGAATTAGTCAAGTATCTTGAAATAAATTTAATATAAGTAAAGATTATAAATTAAATTATAAAAATATTAAGTCTAAATATTTGAATTTATCAAATTATTTCTTTTTTATTTATATAATTTTTTTGATTAATATAAATAAAAACTTTATTTAGAAATATTTGATATGAAGTATTGAAAATAATAATAGGTAATAATTTTATATTATTTGTCATATAGATAAGTATAATTATAAAATTTGATTTTTTATATTTTATAATACAGATATTAATTATTTTGCTTCTATTTTTTTAAGTATTATAATATTTAAAAATTAAATATTAATAGTATTTTAGCTATATTATCAATTAATACTATTAGATAATTATATTAAATTTAATAATATAAAATAAAACTCAAAAAGTTTTATTTTAATACTTTCAAATCTTTAGATAATTTTTGAATAATAGTAATATATTATTAATTATTAAAATTATATTATTTATAAATTTATTAATTCATTATTTATTTTATTTATATTCATATATATTTAAATAAAGATTAATAAAATATTACTTTATTATTAATACTTTAGCTTTTATATATATTATAATAAATTATCACTTTCTATTACTATTTTAATATTTTTATCTATTGAATAAATTTAGTAATAAATTCCAATATCTAATAACTTAATTAAATAAAACAGAATTAAAAATTTTATTTTGAAAAAATAATTTATTAATATTTATCTGATGTATCAAAATTTTTATAACAGATCATTTTATATATTAAAACAAAAATTCTAGTTTTATTTTGAATTAAAAATAAAAATAATTAAAAATTTTTATATAATAAAAACACAAATTTTACTAATTATAATTAATAAAATTCAAATATTATATTATTTTTAACTATTATTATTTATATTTTTTATAAAATAATTAAAGGTTATATTAAAAATAGAATTTAAATTACAAGATTAACATAATTGACTAATCAAATTGTAAGATTAAATATATATTAAAAAAATTCAAACAAAATAAAATTTTGAAATATATCTATTTTTTAAAAATATTATTTAAGAAATAATTTTAAAAAAAAGGTTATTATGAATTTTAATTTTATCTGTTTTATTTTTTATTATTATAAATAATTTTCTCTAATTATAATTGTAATATAATAATAGCTTTATGTATTTATATTTTGCATCAGATTATTAGCCACAAACTCTTTAAAATTACCCATTTCTTGTTCGCGAGATTCTATAAAGAATCGGTCCTATTTGAAATTTGTATATATAATATTTATAATTCGAAAAATCTATTTAAACTTAGAAAAAACTACTCGCTTTACTATCAATTTCGTTCAATTCTATTTCTTTTGACTTATATAATCGACTAATTACTGTCTAATTAATTTCTTATTTGTCAGCACTATAGATTTTATTTTTATTCCCATTCCTTATCCTTGAACTTTCTTCTTTTTCGTTTAGCTGCTCGTTCCCGTGCTTGCATTGAAAATTTTGCTTAGTAATGATTATCAAGCGCAATTCAATTTCAAATGCCCGGGACTTTGAGGCATTGACTGAAACATTCAAGCAGAGACCTTGTCTCGGCGATTGTTGCTATCAATCACGACCGCCTCTCCTGCTTTCTGCAAAACTCATGGTTCCTTCGATGAGTCGACGGGAGATGTCAGAGGACATCCTTGTCATTAACACCATCTTTCACCTGCAAAATGAGCGAATAGATACCGAAAAGAATATAGGAACCAAAAGCGAAACAGCAGCTTGCAGTAAACATCAACAGAACATTACTACTGAAAGCTTACCAAATTATTAGCAGAAGCAGCTTCTGAAGGTTGACGAGATATGAATACAATGTTTCTGTCTGTTGGAGTCTATAACATCGTCTTTACAAAGTTTCAATAATGGTCCAATACAACAGACTTTGGATAAAGCTTCAAAAAATAACTACTGCTTTACAAAATGTTCACAAAATAAAAAAAACACGAGATTTCAAAAGTGGCAATGTGGACTCATGCGAGCTGTTTTTCGTCTCGGCATGTTGCTTCCAATATTACTAGCCAGAAAACAATAACCGCACAAGTTCACATGTGATGCCAAATGGATGAACATCTATAAGATGCAATAAGAATTCTGTGAAACCCAGTCCTTAAAGATTCCTGCGTTCGCACTCAAACGGTGTTAGATGAATAGGTCGCATTTCTCGCATTTGCAAATGCAAATCTGTGTGGGGTCAGCTGTGTTCAAGAAAGATAAATTAACGACTTTCAAAAGCTCGAAGATTCGAAAAGGTTATTGTCCGGATGTGATATCAAATTTTGCATCTGCAGACATACTCTTTACGTATGGTTCGTCGCATTTGTTATTCCACATTTGAGGTAGTTAACCGGAAAACGAGAAAAATTATGCGTAAGGTTATCTGAAAATGCTCAGCTGGGGACACTATTGGTTTCGTCAACACTTTGATCACCAAGATCGAAGAAAATACGATACTATTATTCAGAATGAAGTTTACACATCCAGACCTGCAGCTGATCAATATCCAAATTGGTGATTCCGTAGTATGACTGCCAGTATTGTGGATAGAGATGCGTTTTAAATGATCTTCCTCCGAGCATTGTTTGATGGTACCTTGGTCCATACAGGGAATGATGGGCATTATATACAATGTTTATTATTAAAGTGTTACAATCCTTTCCTTCCAGAGAAAAGTTATGATAATAATAGTTCATTCGAATCTCATCCAATAAAGGAATATTTCCCATTGTTCTGAATTATTTAGGAAAAAGTAATAAACAAAAAAAACTCCACTCTTCCTTCTTTGATCACAATTTCTTTGTTCTTCATTTATATTCACTGTAAGAAATATGCATGCATGATGCATACATATTAATATATATATATTTATCGATATATAGAATCTTTATCCTAAAAAAATGTTACATTTACCCATTGAAGTATATAAACAACCATGCAAATCATCACACAATATGATGACGTTTCTCCTGATATGTAATATATGTTCTATGAATTTAAAACGATCAAGATTTGCCATTATCCGACGTGCTTCTTTGTTTCTCCATTTTCTGCTCCCACAAAATCTGCTGCTAACAATTGAAAGCGCATCTTCGAAATGGTACGATTTAGTCCCATTATTCAGTATTATGGATTGTGTTTATCATTATTTTCGATTATGTTATCCCGTTCGACTTTTGAAGGGCATTATTCGTTTAGTAGATGCATGTTAATAACCCGGAAAATGGTTTCGTCTTTTGTTTATGTAATAGCCCGAGGAGAAGAGACAATACCGACACATTGTGCTATGATACATACATGTATGTATGCACATGATAACAGATGTTAATTTCTAAGCTTCTTTGAAAAAACCGTAATGCATATAAACATAGACAAAAAGCACCAATTAAAACAAGGGTTCATTTATATCGGTCTCTTTTTTGTTTGATTTATCAAGAGATGAACGCCAATTCGGCGTTTGTTTTTTTATTGTACATGTACATGTAATACCCTACCGTATATTTTAACAAAAACTATTATTCCATCCTTTTTCTGAAAGTTATATGTTTAAATCAGAAATGATGAATAGCGCTATATTTTAAAATGACAAACCTCGTTTTAATAACTTTTATTCCCAAATACGCTGAAGAATGAATTGGTATCAACGTTAATGTCATTTTCGGATAAATGATATCAGATTGTGAAAATCATGTGATTTTCATTGTAAACTATTTCTGGAAAGGCAATAAAAAAGATCAATTTGGGAATAATTCGTTTGAGACAATAGCGATAGGTAAATAGAAATTCCTTTATTATTTTTCGCGTTTTTTTTGTCCGATAAGAAAAAAAGTTTTATCATCTTTATTATCGTTGGAACGATAATGAAGATGATAAAATTTTAACGAGACACTGGATTACTAAGTTATTTGTGGTGTCTTAGTTTTTTTGCCGTGACCACTTAAAAATTCATTAGGCTTGTCATTTACGTGTATGTGGTAGTATTACATTCCACAACATTATTATTAATGTACACACCTACACAGAACAAGAAGCAGACACAGAAAATCAATGATTACTCGGTTTTACTTTACCTATTTTTAAATTACATGTATTTGTTTTTTCTCCACACATAATTTTACTATTTAACATTAATTTTATTTTATCTTCATTCATTCACGCAACACACCCATAAATTTTTTTTTATAAATTTTGATATAAGCTCGTGTTCTCCGTCATTGTATACGTTTTCACGAAGTTTTATATACATAAATTTCTATTAGACATGCACAAATTTGCGTTATTATTATAATAATAATAATAATATTAATAAAACTTTTCATTCATTCAACATTTACCCACTACCGCTACTCCCTCTCTCGAAAATTCATACAATCATTTGATTTATAGCCTCATTCTTACCGAACAATATCTCTAAAAAAAAAAGAAAGAAAGGAAACAACCCTTTTCTTCCCGATAAAAAAAAGAAATCTATACACGCGCGCGTGTGTGTCATAGTGATAAAAAAAAATATACCTATGAGAATGAATAGCTTCAGCTGGAAGAATCTAAGTAGACGAGATACAATCACAAGTAATAGTAGCAGTATAAGTACGAGGAGTAGTAATTTTACAATTAGTGAACGATCAATTAGTCCGGTAACCCCACCGGTATCTTTATCAGATAATGAACAAGTGCATATTACTTATGGGTCACCAGTATTAAATAGTATTGATGAGTTATCTTTTCAATTATTTCAACGTGACGAATTGAAGAAACGTGATAAAGAAGAAAGGACTTCATCATTTTATCATGTTTTAAGTAAAGAAGTATGGAAGTCATTGACCACACGAACAATTTCTAACCTCTTAAAAGAAGGAAAAAGTAACATTTTAGATATTGGGTGAGTATTCTTTGCTTTTTGTATTAGTTACTCGATTTATTCGCGTGATGTTTGGATCCCACAACTGATTTTTTGGATTTCCAAAGATGTTCGTCGGGTGGATGGTTATTAGATATGGCTGATGAATTTAAGAATTCTGTGTTTGTTGGATTAGATATTAAAGCTGCTGAATTTCCTAAAGACTCACCGCCAAATGTTGCGTTTATTGAATGTAATGTGTTGGATCAAATTCCAGTAAGTTTTTCTAGTTGTAAGAAGCGATCGATTCGCTATTCATCGGATTGGTCAGTAATAATCACGCAATTCCTTTTTTTCTATCCATAGTTTCCCGAAAACACATTTGATTATGTACATCAATCGGGGATGTTACCATCATATAAAGCAAATGAATGGCGAGTAGTCCTACGCGATATTGTCCGAGTATTAAAACCAGGTGGATATGTAGAGATATCAGAGCTGGACTTTCGATACAATAAAGCGGGGCCTGTAACGAAGAAGATTCATCGAGCTTGTAAGGATTATTTATCAGCTGTTCTCGTCCTGTTCTTTATTTTGCAAAATGTTTATTCTTATTTGAATATAGACCAGCAATATATTGAATCGAAGGGTCAATCATGTTCGGTGACACCGTATTTAGAAGGATTCTCGCGAGAGATTTCCGAAATGAAAAGTGAGCAGCAGGAGGTTGCTATTGGTTCTTGGGGTGGAAATATTGGTGAAACAGTGAGTACTTTTTATTTTACTATCAAGTTATTACTACTGCCGGTTTTCTAACCCATCCTCATATTCGGGTTCTCAATTGAAAAGATGCTACAAAATCATCTGAAAGTGTATCGAGATCGAACTATCGCTCAAAACTTGGCGTCGATACTGGAAATGACTGAACTGGAGTACATCAATCATGTCAATCGAATGCCCAACGAATTTTTTCATTACCGAACAACGTGCCCTTATTTTCGAGTACTCGCGAAAAAAGTCTCAAGTAATAATAGAAGCATGGCGTTGAGCAGCAGCAATAATTTTCACAGTCAGAATGGAAGTTACGACAAACATCTAAATATACAACAACAAACATCATCGTCATCATCATCATCATCTACATCATCACAAATTGGCAGATATGGATTTAGACGGTCGCATAGCTACGATTCGAATAATAAATGGTCATAACAATGAAAAACATTCATTCACTGAAGAATGAATTAAAAATTAGCACAATTAAAAAATTTATTGTTATCATCACCTTTAATTTTCTTTACGTAATTGTATATTTTGGGAACTAATGTATCTAGAGAAAAAGTAACTTTATTTCTTTATTAATTACATCTTTAATAATTTATTCTTGAACACAAAACTAATAATAATTCGGCGAAAGTATTTGTCATGTAGTAAAAATTTTTAATTTTTATTTGTAGTTGAGTAGAAAGTTAGAAACGATGTTGTAATATTTATTTTCTTTGATGTTACAGTATTGATTACGGCCATTTTTTCAAAGTTATGTAATTGAACAACACAATAATTCCGAAGCATCGCATCGTCATTTTGCACGACTAAAATAACAGAAAACACAACATCCAAAATAGGACTTCATATGTTATACAATATTTATTCCGCAAGAGAGGCCGTAGGAAGATACGCGCGCCAAGGAAAACCCGAACATGAGCGTCATTAATGCGATATTAACGTTAATACATGTATGTGTCGGGATACAATAATAAAGCAAAATAAAAACAACATTTAGGTTACATCGCATGAGAACTTGACCTTTACGAAATAATACATGTCTCGGTATTAATTAAACTGGGGTTCCTGGTTTTCAATCTTAATAAATGCAATCTTTACTGTGTCCGTCTTTCATGTACATGTACGTACAATGAATGACTCATGGCATGGATCTTGGAGTAAATGAACAAAACGACAGTGAAGCAGTTGTTCTGTTTTTCTGTCTAAAAATACATGACAGCGTTTATTTTTCTAACAAGACAGAGAACGTAACATGTATCAAGTTTCATATCTAGATGAACTGAAACGGAAACATAAAAATAACATATTAAGCCGGAGAAAAAATTCCAGGACAATGACACAATTTTCGATAATGCTTTTGTTTATATGCTTGCTGACCACCTCATATGAACACGTGTCGATCAATTCTATATAAACACTTTATTGGTATTATTGTGTAAAAAGTTCAGGGGAACCACACTATTTTTTTCTTTTTCTTTTTCAAAACATAATATCGACATTAACCAAATTATAAATGAATATTCAACTCACAGATGCTCAGCACACTATTCTGGTGGAAGATCGACGACAGAAATTGAAGTTGCTATTCAAAGCAATAAGCATTGGAAAGAATCAATTTTCATTTGAAGTCAAAGATGATATTTTGGAGAAAGACGAGATTGATTCTGAATTAGAAGATGAAATTTTTTTTCTCATTCGTTTGAACGCACCATTTCTATCCGATCTGAAAGTCGATTCTACCACCTCGTGCACTATCAAATACCGATGGGAGTACGACGATATCCCAGAAATTTTGGAATCTGCGATTTATTGTCACCGTAAGATTAATGACTATTACGATGGCGAGAATACTATTAACATCCCACAAGAAATTCTTGATCGAGACGCGGAAAAACGTGAGAGTTGGCGTCTCTACAAATCCACATTCAATAATCATTGTGAGGCACGATGGCAAGAGAAATTTTTCGAAGATACCGAAAAATATTTACCCGGATTCCATTTTCTGTACGATTTTCAATGGGAACCTGTTCCTGGACACAATGATTTCGGGGAAAATGATCTTATACTGACCGATGGCTGTGGGTGTTTTGCAGTTGTGGAGGTCAAATTCATCTCATCTTCAAATTCAGAAGAGCGCATTTCAGATAAATTGCACAAAGTTAATGAACAAGCGAAAAAGTATAGGGACCTTTTTATAAAGGCTAATCGGGATAATATCGATCTTAATGTGTTGACAGTCATCGGTGTTACCTTTACAAATCAAGAGGATGGTACTGTTGGATTTGTGGATGACTTTGATGAGAGCATTGCGGACGCCATCAAATATAATCGTAGACTGAATAGGTCCTCGCCTTCACCCATCGATACCACTGTAAATAATCCAAATCTCACTTTTGAAGATGGTCGATTGAAATATTCGAGTACATATTTAGAAAAAAGAGGTAATTAAATCATGTTTCGTTCTTTTAAAGTATGATTTTCACGTTCAATATCTTTAAATTTAAGCAGAGATACGTAGTGAAGCATTACGTAAATCAAATATCAAAACGTCAGCTGATGGCGAAGTTATCATACAAGAACAAAATTATATTAATAATTTAATCATTGGGTCATCATCATCATCATCGTCGTCAACAGCAACACATAATTACAACCCTCAAAGAAGGGGCATCGAACTTATAGTTCAGAATTTATGTGACTGGGATCGCGAAATGAAACAGGAAATAAGCCGACTCGAAGCAAAAATTCAAAAGCAATCAGAGCGTGAAAGGGAACTTAATATCAGCCACGTGAACGAGATTGAGGAAATTCAACAGCGTAATGACAGGCGATTTGAGAAAGTGGAAAAACGACGAAATAAATTACAAGACGAAATTCAAAGACAAGATGAGCTCATTAAAAGATTACAAGAAGAAAAGGAAAGTACCAAGAAAATTTTAGTGCGGAAAATCGAACAACTTCAGCAGAAGATCGAAGAAGTTCAAGGTAAGCAATATGACGATACCAAATCAAAGTTATCCATGTCTTCAATCTCTTCCACATCAACTCCAACATCATCAATAATTTGTAATCAATCGGATGATGACGAACAAGAGCAACAAGAAGAGGTTGAGACACCTGCACAGATACACTGTAACCAACAAATTCGGTTTTATGATGAACTTTATGATAGTGAATGAGAAATTTTGATAGATCCGTGTCAAATTATTTACATAATTTATTAATTCATAATGCATCCATAAATACATATCTTTCTTTTCGCACGTTATGAAGCTTCAACAAATTCACTCTTCTGCTTCTCGATAACATCATGAGCCGTTCTTTCTTTGAATATTTTTTATTCACGTGAATAAATCAAGTTTAAATTTGAACTATAGCCTTGAAGTTATCAAGTACAGTCGACCCTCTATAAAAGGGTGCATTATAAAGAAGTGATTTCCTCTGGTTAGTGTGACGGATACCGAAATTTACATATGATAATGAGAGTTAGTAAATAATTACTTCAAAAACTTTTTAAACCCTAGCTAATGTTTTAAGCTTAGAGTTATAAGTAAAATTCAAATGAATTTCAGCTTCAGCCGCCACAATTAATAACTGGCCCAGACAATGATTATAGAGAGGTTTGACTGCGAAACATCTAAAATACGTGCAGAGTGATACTAAGTAACGCCGCCGATACATTTTTGATCATGCCTCGCATTCTTCTGTGAGAATATATAAGTGCCATAAGAACCAGTTAGAGACCGGGAGGTAATCCACAATGCTGGTTTTTGTGGTGAATAAATGAAGGGGGATGTTCCTAGTATCATTAAAATCCTGAGTGGGCATTTTGGACATGAAATACCTAGCTTTTTATAAACACGAAAGCACACTTCAATCATCCACGTGATAATGAATTTTTATGAATCTGTAACATTGGCATGGCAAGTTTATCTGGAGTTCGTCATGTGCATAGCATAAGCAGTAGATCCGAGATGTGTCATTTTTATATCCAGTCATAAGAGTTCGTATACCAGGGTCTAAAGTGATTACGCCTTTTCAAAAATGAAAGAAATAAAACGAAAGAAAAGAAAGACTGAAAAAACGAAAGAAATAAACTTTCTTGCATAGGACCTTAACTCTTGTTTGCATTTCAAGCGGCTTAGGGATACAGAAATAGAATTCACCAAGACTGTTTATCGCAAGATGACCATCATATTGAAATTTTCTGGAGGAATTCAGTTGCTTTATTTTTATGGCGGAGCTTGAACTCACCATCGGACTTGCCGCGATGCTTGGAGAGGGTTGTAATACGCTCTACAGTATATTACCGCAAATCTCAAAAACAAATCTGTAACTTTGGAACACAATATCTTAAGATCCAGTCGCATTTGAATTAGATATTACCATTAGATTTAGTTCGAATATACGAATCTAATATAATATTTCATTTAAATGGGATGTTGGCTCCAAAGTGACTGATTCTTTTTTGAGATTTCCGGTAATAAATTGTAGGGGTGTGTGTTAGACTTCGAGCGATCATTCTTAGAATGGAACATATTAAATCCTCTACATTTCGCAACGAATTTTGATGAGGATTGAGTATGTAAATAATAATTCATGACTGCATCCCATATACCATAAGGTGTTTTAAAATTTGCTGAAATTTTGTATAGGACTACGCTCGTAACTACTTTTTGTTCAATTGCTGAGAGTCTGTCGTTCTTTCCAAGTAGGAAAGGAATGGATGCATAGTGACTTGCCTGTTAGAAGCTTCTCTTCTTTCTTCCCATTCTCCTTGACTACCTCACATTTTCTTTTGCGATTAGCAGCAGAGTACAATCGCGACAAACATTCTGACAATTGAGAGCAAGTCCTCTACAAGTTCTCCAGCTTTATTGAAACTGATATCTGAACAAGAACTTTGAGTGCGTTCTTTTTTTTAAAGATCTATTCCACAAGTTTGAATCCAAAGCAACAAGGTTGATCCTTTCAGTTAGCCATCACTTTGTCATCAATCCTTGTGTATATTTATTCGATAAGCGTCACATTTCCAGTTTTCACTGATAATTTTGAGTTTTGGAAATCGACGCATGTCGATGATTTATTGCGTAAGATGCGCCGAATTGACTTTTGCATAGCATGCCCTTGAATTTTGCGTGGATGACTATCCTGCTTGTTAGTTGTCACCAAATCTCTTACACATTCTTGTAACGAAATAAAATCATTTTTCACTAGCTCATCGCTGTGAAGTTTTGACAGACATCATACACTAGTATGAGCTGTATTAACGACACTTTTATTAAGACCAGATAAATTGCTAATTATGAGTGTTCATTTGAAAAAATTTGCGATAAGGCTTTAATTATTTTACAATTTGAATTAAAATTTTCATTTAACTTGTGTGTCAGACACATGCATTTCATTTATTCATTGTAAAAGTTAAAGCTCTACACTAAACATTCAATGTCATTTATCCAATAAGAAAAGCGCCGTTTATTCAGGAGTTTTCGAAAATCCGGTAACAGCACAATCAATAGATCATTTAGCCGGTTTAGTTATGAATATATTATCATCAATAAACTGTATGCAAATCTGTTCAAACTATTTTTGCGAACCCAGTACGAGTTTAGCTTTGGAAAGTCGTCTTATCACCAATAGAAAATTTTGGACAAAAACCGACAAAATCCATGTAATTAATACAAAACATGTTCTCGAATACAGTACTTCACTTTCTATGGCAATATGACGCCGATTGCATTGCCGCTCCTTAAACGAACAGAAGTCAGAAAAAGTAGTATGGAACTTAACTTGTTAGGTTAACTAAAGAATTGTAAATCAACAGGAGTTGTGAGCAAGTATGAATGATTTATGCGAAGCGTGGTATCACGAAGGTCCTAAAGTTCTCCTATACCAATATTTCATTGAGAAACGCAATCAAAGAGTACAAAACAAAAGAATAATAAAAGAATAATATTTTAATTAACAGAAATAATAACAGCTACCAAAGAAATATAATTTTAATTCATATAGCAAAAATAACTACAAGGTTACTAGCATAATTTAAATAATATCCAATCCAATAACAAAGATAAGTTTATTCTAAAATAATAAATGCAAATTCCAACCAAATAATCAAGTAATCAAATGAGATACATCCACTTTTCATGGCAAAAAAAGTAAGGCCCTCGATTTTGTTCAACATCAAGAAGTAAAAGCCGAAGTATAATTATGTAAAAATCATTATTTTTCTTCAAACTACACATTGTCTGTTTTTCTGACCTTCGAGAGCTATCATATATATATAGTTTTGCTATTACAAAATATCTAAATTAACAAATCGTTTACTACAGGATTTTCAGATTATTAAAACATAAAATAGGAATTTTAGTATGCATTTCACAGGAAAGAAATATATTGTAATAATTATATGTAAAAAAAGTAATTAAAAAAGTAATAAAAATTTAAACGCATGAAATAATAATTCTGGTAGGATTTTTTAACGATAATCAAAAATCTTGAAGCGCAAAATAGAATTGTAGTAGGAATTTTCTTTCTGGGTTCCGGCGACGTAAGGTTTGCAGGACAGTTCTTAATTATTATTTTTATGTTTTTGTCACATGATTATTAAGGGTACAGAATTAAGAAATTCGCATCATCCAGGATATTCTGTAATCATTTTTGTAATTAAACTTCTTTCATAGCTATATATCAATAAAAATTGGCTAAGTTCATCACCGGAATTAGCAGATTTTAAAATCAATTCTAATACTTTGTCTTCATATTTTTCTATTCTTGTATCATAGTTTATAGCAAGGTTATGTTCTATAGTAGGATCTCCAGATTCTGCTGCTTTCAAGTACCACTCGAATGATTTTTGTTCATCTTTGATTGTTCCTTCTCCATTGTCGGTAGCAATAACCGAGATTATTTTGCGCAAAATGATGTCCTGACTCTGCTGCTTTCAAGTACCACTCAAATGCTTCTTGTTTAGCTTTAATTGTTCCTTTCCAATAGCCAAGATTATTTTGTGCGTAAAGGTTTCCTGACTCTGCTTGCTTTCAAATACCACTCAAATGCTTTTTGTTCATCTTTGTTTGTTCCTATTCCATTTTGGTAGCAATAACCAAGATTATTTTGTGCATTAAAGTGTCCCGACTCTGCTGCTTTTAAATACCACTCAAATGCTTTTTGTTCATCTTTGATTATTCCTTTTCCATTTCGGTAGAAATAACCAAGATAATATTGTGCATTAAGGTCTCCCCACTCTGCTGCTTTCAAGTACCACTCAAATGCTTTTTGTTCATCTTTGTTTGTTCCTATTCCAATTCGATAACAATCACCAAGATTATTCTGTACGCTAAGATGTTCTGACTCTGCTGACCATTCAAATGCTTTTTGTTCATCTTTGATTGTTCCTATTCCATTTTCATAGCAATAACCAGGATTAATTTGTGCATCAAGATTTCCTGACTTTGCTGCTTTCAAGTACGTCTCGAACATTTTTTGTTCTTCTTTGTCTGTTTCTTCACTTTTGTAATAGTAAATGTTGAAGTTATTTTGTGTTTGAAAAAATTCCGACTCGGAGAATTCCAACTTGTTTAATATTTCTATATTTATTTGTTGGTGGCTCATTATTTGATAATTGAGATGATGCTGTTAAATTGTTGTCTGTTTGATCCGAATAAATTGTTACGTATAAATTTGGCATTTAAACGTTAAGATATATATTTAAATTTGCATGGATGAAGGTTAAGGTGTTAAAAAACAAGTTCATTTTATGAAAGAAATGGAGATGATATGGAAATTAAAAATAAAATTCATGGATGTACATGTATGTGATATTACAATGTACAAGTCATACATAACTGTTATTCTTCCGTATAATGATTAGTACTTATTATAGAAATTTATATGTCCGTTATACAATAAATACGTATTAGTTCGGTTCGGTTAAAATAAATTTCGACTATTTTAAGCTAAATACTCTTTTTATATTACAATTACAATACTGGGTCTTTGATAATTTTAAACGCTTAACGTATTTATTTGTTTAAGAATTTAACAAAGATTTTGAGTTTGTTAATATTAAAAGTATTGTACCAGACCAGATGAATTGATAAGTTAAATCTCAGCAGCTATTATCAAATCTGAAACAAGCGCAAATAATTCAACTGTGTGGTCGACAAAATATATATAATTAAAAATTCAGTGAAATATTATAAAAGAGTTTTTCTCAGAAAAATACGAAATATGAAAGTATCCGGACATGCTCATCCATGAAATGATACAAGCAATAATTCAAACTTTATCGTTATAATTAGTTTTTTTATTATAATCGCCAAATTCTGGCTCTTAGAATAAATATTTTTCATAAAAATTAGTCCCTATAAATTCTGTAACTCCTATTTGTGTTTACAAGTACTAAATAAAATTTATATGATTAGAATCAGCCCTATTTTTTGCGGTCGCAACTCCCGTGTTTATGAAATTCTGGACCGATCTTATTATTTGTGTTCTTAATACATGTATTAGAGTATTGCCAAAATTCTTGTAACATCTTTCATTGATGATGTTTCGTAAAAATTCCTACAAAATTCTTTACTTTGTGGAATCAACACCAACACTGCCTTCCTAATAACACAAATTCCTTACAAATATTCTTACTTTGCATTCCAAAGAATGTGATTATCAATAGAAACTCATAAACATTTTATATCTTACATTATTCTCTCGATCCATAGACATTATTACAAATTCCTGTCACATTCACATTTTCTGTTGTATTTAATAATTTTATTTTTTAAATAATAATTACAATTAATTCTACTTTATTTTGACAATTAACTCTATTATTCTTTCATTACGAAATACTGTATAGTCATGTCCCTTTTGTCATAATTCTTACAAAATTCATACATTATAAAGGATAGCTCTTATGAGTTAGTGGAACAAGTTACTGTGTGGTTTGAAGAAAAATTATTTTTAATTCTTATATAACAAATACTTTGACTTTTATTTCTTTTATGTCTTAACAAATCAATAATTTTATTTCTTTTGTGCTGAACAAAATTAAAGACTTTATTATTTGCTTGATTTGTTTGATTTTAATATTGTTATTTTATTTTATTGAAAGTACCTATTTTTCTGACTTGAATTTTGTCTGTTATTTGAATTGATATTATATTTTGTTAGTAATTGGTTGTTACTTATGACCTTTGAATTAAATATTATTATTGTATACTTTATCTTTGTCCTTTTGAACTCTTTGCTCTAGATTGGCATAGGAGATCTTTAAAACCCCAATGAAACTCATTCTATTTAACCTTGTTGCATATATAATTCTTTAGTCCAACTAACTTCTGAGTTGAGTGTGACACTACAATCGGTGAGGTGTTTAAAGCTTGTTAATTTTCCAATTGTCCGATTTTCATCAGGTTGATGTGTTCAAATTAAACGGACTTTAAGATGACTTCGAGCCTAATATTGAATTTAGTATAAATGGGACCAATTTCATCTGGGAATTTTTTAGTTGTTACATGTAACATATATTTAATTCTAGGAAATAATGAAGAATCAATCAATACATATACGACCAATTACATGTACATGTGTGTATGTATTAGCTCTCTAGCCTGTATTAATATGTATCTCACACACCCACGCACATACACAAACTGATGTTATGTTCACACATACTTGTAAATGTAGTTTTTGGTAAAGGGAAAGAGATCTTTATAGATGAAAAAAATATGCTCAACAAAATATACAAAATTCTCATTCACCGTATTTTCGCGAAATAACGCCACCTGCGTGGTATTTTGAGCACCTGCGCATACAAAGGATCGATTTTCTGCTAAACCTGATTTTCAAAATAACGCCCATGTGCATTATACATCTATTAATATTAATGATAATGTTGTTATTTTCTTAAGTGATCAACTCCGAGTAATACAATCATGCTTTCCCAAATAGCAAGAATAAAAAGTGCATTTTTAGTTGGTTATTATTTTTTTCCCTTCTTTATCACAATATAAAAAATGTATACACAAATAGAAAGAGTTTAGACGAATCACAGTTGTTATCCGACGCGAGAGACCACGAATACTGGCGGTATGGATGCGCCCATATCATACTGCTCTGTTTACTAACAGAACGGTATGGGTATGAATCAACAAAGCAGTATGGTATGAATTCTAGTTTTTAAAAAACATACCATTAATATTTTCGTACTCATAGTAACCATACTGATCTGGGTACTATTATTCGTATTACCGTTCATTGCTGTTATTCTGTAAACCCAAATTTGTGTGTCGGCGTCGCATTACATAACTTCATTTGTGCACCCGTGTTTAATGGACGCCATGGATAAGCTAGCGCTAATACGTACATGTACTAGCAAATTTTCTTCAACTTTGTACCAAACATGACAAGTCAGTATTATACTACGTCAAAAAATTTCACGGTATAGAGGTCCAAGAAAATGGCATAGAACTGACCAAACAGGCGATAGAATAATCCTGAATGTCAGTGGAATCCGAGTACGTCCCTCCGTATTCTTAAGTTGCTTTATGCACGTTATAAGAAATCAATGTTAAGCATGAAACCACTCGCACAAACTTGACTGCTTATCCGGAAACAATGCTTGGTAAAATGTTCGACCCCGCGAATGACGCCAAACAGGAAATCGAAATATTTCAAATTCCCATTTTAACAAGTGAGATTGATCTTGCTGTACAGCAAGGCGCTGCATTGGTAAACAAATTTCGTGATTCATTGGAAATCACGCTCGTTGATGCAATAAGGAAAGTTACATAGCGTTGAGATTAAATTTTACGAATGCGGTAGTTATTCAATTCAGAAACCGGATGTCAGTTCATGGCGTCAAGATTTCAGCGATACTGGATATGGAATATTGCGTAACTTTGCTGCCGAAATTGAAAAACGGATTTTGATTCGGTTCCTATCACTTAATTGGGAGATTAAAGAAGGCGAGATAACTTTAAAATTGTTCAACTTTGTTGACAGTGTTAAAGGTCATTTAAATTAGGTCAACATAGTAGAGCCTTTCTATTTAAATAATTATTTTCGTTGGCGGTAATTATTACAATTGTGTTAATTTTGTAATTGTAGATGGTTTTTTTAGTCAAGAGTGAACAGATTTATTCATTAAATAAATTATAGGATTAAAGATATAAATTGAAATATAAAGCATCTAGATATTTACCATGTTTACCAGGTCACGGGGTCATTTGGTAAATACTTCAACCCTAATCGTAATAGAAGGAATGTAAGTGATTATTGAATAATTTTAGGCTGATTCAAGACAGAAAAGTATCGATTTATAATGCATCTAATGTGAATTTTATAATAAGCTATTATATAAAGAAAAATAACCTATCAGATCAACAGGACAGAAATAAATGATGACGATGACGATATTGTCATACTCGATTCGAAGATTAGGCTGACTAACGAATTTGAATATGGGACAAGGGTCGGGAACAATGACCGACTGATCAGAGTTCTAAAGGTCTCCTGTGCCAAGCTTTCACGGAGATTGAGCGATTTAGGGCAAAAGTAAGGCTTTAAGGTAATAATTTATTTTTAAAGAAGCGAAATTTACTAAAATAATTTAATTAAGGAATATTCAATGGAAAAGCAAATTCTATTGCTTTTATAGATAGGTTTCCGCAAAATGATAAAAACCGATTTCCTAAAAGAGCAAAACAATAAAGACAATGAATTCAATAAAATAAGAATATCAAGGGTCAATATCAAAATAATAATATTAATGCTTAAGGAATCAAACACAATGCATTCACTTTGTATGGCCAAAACAGTAAAGCCTTCAATTTGTTAGGCACAATAGAATTAAAGCCATCGATTTCGTTTTAGCACAAAAGAAATAAAAGCCGAAGTGGGAATTAAATAATTTTCAAAATTAAATTTAATATTTATTTTTCTTCAAACCAATTTTGCCTGTCTCGTGATCTACGCTATATATACAATTTTACCTTTACAAAATTACTTCGCGTTATTATACAGCTATTCTAAGTACAATCGATCGACTACGGATTATTATAGCGCAAGGTTAGAATATTATTAGAATTTCTCAAAAAGAAAAAAGAAAATGTATAAAATGTAAGGATATTTAATTTAATGTAAAGAAATTATTTATGTAAACAGGAATAAAATAAAAAAAAATATTGTTACGTTTTCCAAAAATAATCATATTTAGAAATCACCCAATAAAGGAGAACGTGCAAAATAATGATTGTTGAGTCGAGCTCTATGACTTAAAGCATTGCTTTGGGGCGTGCAAGGTAAGAGTTTAATGAACTACTGCTTCTGTCTTTTGAGGAAACGACGTTGATTTTGATATTACAAGATAGAAATTTTTATAGAAATTTCTATGCTCGCATTAATTTGATAATACAAGGTTATTCTGTCTTTTTAATTTAACAAATATATTTTATAATACAATAAATAATATATTCCATATTTTAATAAGTTCATTATAATTTATCTTAATAATATTCTTATATTTAATAAAATCAAAAAGAAATAACTGGAATATTTATATATTATTACAACAACTTTGATTGGATTATCTCTTTTAGTCTTAGAACTTCATTTTGCATTTTTTGTATAACAGATTATCTTTCTGTAGATATATAGATGATCATGTATTTAATTAATTAGATTTTATATATTATTATGCAGATAATTATTATGTATATCATAATTCTTAATTTAGATTATTAATATCTTTAATTATATTTTTAATTATTATTTTCTTATTATATTATTATTTATCATACTTATAATTATTAAATTATGATTAGTTGTCCTCTGGAGATACAAATTAAGATAATTAATTCTATTCAACTCATATATATTTTTATTAATTAATTATTTATAATTTATTTGCACTTTGTATTCATTTCTTTCTCTATAAATATGATCTTTCTGTTCTGTAAATTAATTTTAGATTTGAATATTATTTTAATAATAAAATTATAAGTTTATAAATTAAAACTATTCATATCATATTTTATTTTGTTTACAATTATTAATAAAATAATCTCATAACTTGATAATAATAAACATAATTATTATAAATATTTATTCTCTAATATCTTTTACTATAATATATTATACTATATTGTTACCGTAGTAACATAAATTTCTTTAATTTCATAATTTTTCGAACTTGGAAAATGTGACCAATCAATTGATC